TTTTTTCATGTTTTTGTAAAATTAAATTATTACGATTACTGTGCAAAACATTTTACATGTCTCAAGAAAGCGACCATAAATTTACTAGAAAAAAATCATTAATTTTAAGAAAATCATTAATTTTAAGTATACAAGTAAACTTAAAATCGCTTTTAATTGAATATTAATATAAGTATTAATATATTATATTATAATATTAATGTTATTATCAATAATTAGTACAAAATCCAATAGTTTGCGTCTAAAAATTAAGCAGAGGAGCTTGGGTATTGCTGCAACAGTTTTTTTTTTCAAATTAATTTTTTTTTCAAATCTTGAAATCTACTAATTATATTTCTACAAAATAAAGATGGGTACAATTTACCCATTGTTTGGGACTAGTTATGTATAACATCTAACGAGGCAAGTATAGTTACGACAAGAAAAAGGTGATAATACTTGTGATAATTTATTCTTTACTTATAAGAAAATTTACATGTTTTAAGTAATTCTTTTCACAAATCAATGTAAACTGTAATTAATATATACTATACAAATATATAGTATTACCTGTAATAAAACTTTTCATCATAAATCGACGTTAATTACAATTAATATCATAATACAAATAAAAGATATAGTTCATCCTGTAACCAAATTTACTCACATTTCACAATCTGCATATATATTTTAATTAATCTTATTAACTTGTATCTGTATATGATTCTTGTATTTTACAAATAGTTTCAAGGTTTTGTTTCAATTAACCCCAGGTGTGTTTTCTTTACATTAATTGATATAACTATTTAAATAATTTAGCAATCTCAAACATTTTTACACATGATCAAAGATTGATATATTTGAAATGAAATAAAATATATAAAATTTAAAGTTAGTCAATGATAATAATGCAAATCAATTATCCATAGTTCTGTATATTACGTTGGCCTGCAGGTCAGTAGCTATAACAATATTATGCAAATCCAGACAAAAAATATCTTAATATCTTTAATATTTTATTGAAAAACGCCTATTACTAGTTACCCATATTACATATAGCCCCTACACCCAACGTTGTATATGCATTTTTCTTGATGCCCATTATTATTTTTACCTTTTGCTAATCAAGCTTTTCTTTAAAACAATATGATTCTTATTATGGTAAAAATCGATTTTTGAATCATTCAAATCGGTCACAACACCCAAACACATTAATTAATTTCATCTAAGGTACGCCAAATGACTATGAGCTCTTGAAACTAAATATAAAAAAAAAAATTTTTCTTCTCGACGGGAAGATAATAGAAATACTTTAGTTAAACCTATGAAGTGTCCTCCTAGAGCAAATTGAAATTGATGAAAAGTTAATAGTTTAAATTATACTTTTACGAAGAATTAGACAATTAAATGATTATACTGATTGTGAATATGAGTACAATACTGATTAGTGAACAATATTAATTCAAAAAACTACCAAAGCAAAAAAATTAAGAGCAGTAAGAATTTATTAAAAATACCAAAGCAATGCCTGCATGCACCTAATAAAAAGTATATAAAGAAACCCTGAACATATAATAAAAGTAATACAGAATATATTTGAGATATAATACATATGAAAGCTAAAATATGAGGAAAAGAGCTTTCGTATTATTTTAGAACTGCCCTAAAACAGAGCAATTCTAATATATATTATTTACTTATTTATTTATTTATTTATCAATAAACAACCGTAATCAATAATAATGAATATTATTTCAGGTTTTAGTCGAACTTATTCATAATTATTACTTAAAGAAAAGTAATTTTATTGTATTCATAGTACCTGCACAATTTTCGCTTCTGAAAAAAAAACTGAAAGAAAGCTTTTGAACATATTAATGTTTTTATACGCAGCCAATGATTCCAAGCAACAATAAGGAACCTGATTATTCTGATTATAAATAATTGGACACCAAACTCCTTTATTATTCTTATTTTCTAAGTTTGATTATTGAGTAAGTAAGTAAACTACGCCAATGAACGGCAGGATAAGGAAAATAATACAGTAATATCATCAATCAAATTGATAAAGTGTATCCTATCCATAACTTAATCTGTTTTCACAAATCTAATAAAAATGTCATGTCATACTTGCTTGTCACTCGTTAGCTTTCATAAGCACCATAATAAATGATGTATGAATACGGAAACTGACGGAAATCGATCACAGAATTTTTCAAAATTATTTAAAAAAGGGTGTAAAATTGTTGGTAACGGCTTCTTAATAGTTCATTTAATTTAATTTAATCCAAAAGTATAAATAAAAAATATAATTATATAGAATTTGTTAGCTTTAAGCAATTTAATGGAACACTTTCGGTAGAAAATTCTTAAACTTATAATTCTTTAAAATAAATAGGTGCAATAGGTATCATAAACTTCACGAGTTATATAAATAATCTGTTTAATAAATAATATTTTTTTCAATATATGATCTACCTGTCTACCTCTAGGCCTGTATTCGTGTCTACCTGTCTACCTAATCACCTGTCCATCTGTTTACCTGTCAACCTCTACAATATGATTTTTTTTTAATCACATTTGTAACTGAAAAAAGTACAGGTATATGTGTTCTTGTCTTGCAAATTCTAGAAAAATAATGGCACAAAATTACTGTCATCATTAGTAGAATCTCGGAGTTGAATAACATTCAAAAATTGAATAATCTGAATTTAAATGTCTGCTTAATATATAATTTCAATAGGTCTTGAAAATATTTAAAGTTTAGCATCATTTACCTCAGATATTTTAATAAAAACTAAATTTTCATATATGTATTTATATAACGTAACAATAATTGAAACAACTTTTTTAGAATTGTTGAAATATGTTCCAGTACAATAGTTTGGCATAATTGAAATATTATGTATTTCAATTTATTGATTTTACATCCATCATTTTTGATAATTGTGATGATGTTTTAAGTGTACTTGTATAAGTTTTGAACATATATTTTCTCCACACTGTATCACATTTTTTGTTGATTTGGTTTTAAATTTGAAATATTTGGTATATTATTTAATTCAATATATTATGTTTCATCTAGCAAAAAACCAAACTGGACTAAAAACGTATGGAAGACTTACAAAATATTCTTTAGACATAACATACAATTGGGTTTTCTTTTTAATTAACCAATGCTTTATAAAAAACCTTTTTGTTTAGAATTAAACCTTATTAAGCTGAAATATTACTACACACGGCCATATCTTCGCACATACTACTATTTTAGCTATAGTTATCATATGCACTTTAATTTAAATAAAAAAAAATAATTCAACTCATAGAGATGTTAACAATTTTATTCATCATATCTGGCATATAAAATACTTTCAAACATTTAACGTGGAGTCCAATAATTTTCTTAATTATCTACGAATATCACGTAGAACGTATAAATTTTCTTTTATAAATCTTGATAAGATAATGAGCTGCAGGTTCGTGATAGAAACCAATTCAAATGCATTAATCTTATATGTCAAACTTAAAATTTATTATTTATTTCGTTGAATAAGATATCGTAGCATTTTAATCGAATATATCAAATAGTTGAAAATAATTAATTAATGCTGACTAAAGTTTGGTTGTCGCAGTCTAATTATTTACATATATTACACATTTAATCCGATACAAAGCATTCTAGTAAATCAAGTAAAATTGTGAATATCATGTACATTTTTATTTCTATTAGCTAAGCTAACATTAACTAATTGTACAATAATAATTTTTAACAATACAAAAGGTCTGATTATTGTTTCTGGGTTGTTTGCTTTGTGTTTTCTTATTGTCAGGATTTTTCAATGTCCAAAATGTAATAACTATTATACTGAGAGCGTTTAATACCATGATACACTGTGTGTATGATCCTGTAGAATCTCTCAAGTATCCTGAAATAAAAAAATCAGATATTAAATAATAACTATTGTAAAATTAAATGTGATAATATCTAATTATGAGTAAAAGTCGTAATCTTTGCTCAATAAAATAATATACAGATCATCATCAATGACCAAATATCAAAATAAATTTGGATATAATTATTCCTTTAATTAGTATTTCATATTGATATAATAAAATATGTGAATAAGTAAAGCAACGTATTAGCCATACAATATTGCACTTATACTGCGATTCATTAAATCATATTCGTTTTATAAAAGATTAAATTATACATAGACTTCTGAAATATTTTATTATTTTTTTTTTAATTAGTTGAGTAGAAACTAGGGTTTGTGGGTTTTCAAAAACCGGTATTAAAAACCGTTTTACGCAAAAATTATGTAATTCGTAAACCGGTTTTTTAGTGAAAAAAGTCGGTTTTCACTGTATAAATGGAAAATGACAAATATAGCCAAACATACAAAATATATGAAAGCGTTTTGATTCTTGAAGTCATATCGGTTCAATAGCATTTGATATCTTATCAGTCTGCAATGGTTCCCAGAAAGGTTTTGTATATATTAATTTAGATTTTTATATCGGTGTATATATTAATTAAATCAGTGTGACTTCTTCTTGAAGAAGTAACTTTCTCTACTCAAACTTAAAAAAGAGTTTTAAACCCTAGAAGCTACAAATAAAGAACAAAAAACTTAGAATTATTATATCAGGCTTTAAAAACAATTAAGCATAATTTGGTCGCAAGTATGAGAGTATTTTCTTTTCCAGGAAATATTACGAGTAAACAAAGACACGTCTTAGTACCAATTCGATAGACGTTCAAGTTTTTTTAAATCATATTTTATTAAACAAAAAAATAATTAGCATGTTTAGAATTAATTAATTAAAATTCCTCGGAACAGACAATACCCAGGTTTAGCTTAATTGTTTTTAAAACTAAAATTGATATTAACAAGTATGTATCAACATGTATCTATTTTTTTTAATTTATTGATTTTTTTTTAGTTCTACTAATTAAAATTAAAATAATTTTGTTTACTATCTATACAGTTGAACAATAAATAAATTCAGCCAAATACTGCTCTAAAATACGCTAAATTTGCGGATAAATTACAGAATATTCGAGCAAAATTTATTTTCTATATAAAATTCGAAAACGGTTAAAACCGTTTTTTTAGTAAAATTAAAATTCGAAAACCAGTTTTCTGAAATGTTGGTTTTTGTAAACCCTAGTAGGAACTAATGGTGCTCCATTAAGTCAGTGCAATTTTGTATAAATGAACCTAAAATTTTAATAATTCCGTGTTAATTCCGTGTTAATTCTTTTGTACAAATGAACCTAAAATTTTAATAATTCCGTGTTAATTCCGTGTTAATTCTTTGTCTTTTTAATAAGGTTAAAATTATTATTTGTTATGTTTGTTGATAAGTAGAACAACTATTTTTTAAAATTATTTCTGCTATCACAACCGCTTGATATCAAGCTGGCAAAGAATGGCTGCAAACTCGGAACCTGCGGGTTTTAGCATGAAGCGTTACGATATTATGTCATCTTTTATAAAAATATAAAGAACCTATTACATTCATTGCATATTTGAAAATATCCAGAAACGTTCGAATCAGGTTTAATTTTATTCACGAGATAAATAATTTTGTTTTTTACAACAGAGTTAGAAGACAAAGTTCTAATTACTGCTATTTATCTTAGTTTCTTTTTTATAAATTAATCTTTCCGAATGACAATACGATTTAAGATCATCGGAAAAACAGTTGATAAATAAGTTTTTTTCATGCTTTATACTAAACAATGATCTGATGCATAATTGAGCCTCTATAATATGTATTTGATTGCTGCTCTATAGAGGATTCCGAAATCAAATACAATATATGCATGATTGGCTTTCATCTCGGTGTATCTTTGACTTGCCTCTCCAATTAGCAGGGTAACAGATATTCCTCATATCACGAAATACTCTGTTAATTATTAACAGCCTTAGATAAGTATCAAGATTACTCACCCATTACTGGACCAAAGGTCATAAGGAAAACCCCGCAACCCAGCATCATTACGCCTCCGGCTGCTGCCAATTTCTCCACTGGAAGACAACTAGGTAAAATCAGGAACATGTAGACCGTTGAAGCACCTTTGACCAGACCAAGAATAGCACAAACTGCTAGAACTTGATAGTAGCTTTCCGAAAATAACAAACCTATAATGATATAATTGTGATAAATAATTTAATAAATATAATTGATATATATTAGGTTGGGGAAGAAGAAAACCATTATATTTTTGGTAGATGGCTGTACTGATAGATGTCTCGGAAAGCATTGATCAAACAACTTCAGATTTATGCTCGTTGGAAAGGTGACATTTCGAAGTAAAAAAATATTTTGCTGTTTGGTGCATTTAGTTGTGAGTTGCAGGGTGTTAAAAATGAAAGCAAACAAATAGAATTTTCAGTACATTTTACAATTTTCCTTTGACAAAGGCGAAAATGCAAGCCAGGCGGCTAAAATTGTTATAGCTTACTATAACAGACAATTATGTGCAATTTTGGTTTCGTAGATTCCGTTCAGAAATTTTTGATGTTAAAGATGCACTTTGCACCGATAGACATGTCGACGAAAATGTCGAACAAATCTGATAAATGATCGAAGTTGACCGGCATGTTTGCAGTAGCAGTCGTAACATTGTCCAGGAGATAAAAATCGGACAATCCGAAGCATGTTAATTAAAGTCCTGAAGTTTATATAAAAATAGTGGATTTCCTTTTCTAAACATAATAAGTATATAGTATTTACTTTTTTGAAACGGTTATCTTTGTTGCTTATTCTACGGAATTTGAATTTTAAATGAACTTTTTTTGTAGTATAATTATTAATTGAAACAACTTTTTTATAGTAAGCAATATCAGATATTAATCTAATATACTATTCAATAATAACAATAGCTTAATTACAATTAGTTCGTTTGGTATTTAGCCTTGAGGCAAGTTACATGAACTTCCCGATATATTTAAATAATCGACTTAATCAATAAAAAATAAATTAATTTATGAGTCATTAAAAGTATTCCGAGTGGATTTATTACACATAATTGAAAACGAACGAACACTTTGACTCGGAGTATTTTCTAAAAGCAAATTTTCAAAAATCAATAATTTTTATAATTGAACCAGTTTTCAGGACTTTAATGGTTTATTATGTTCAAGACCAAGTACTTTTTTTCAAATTACAAAGAAATGGCTTGACAGATCGTCGCACAAAACTGACAAACGGTAGTCCTCACCGAAATACATCAAATGGCTTTTAAATTTCTGAAATCGGTTCAGGCGCTTTTGAGAAAACGTCGATCAAAAGTCTAATTTTGACAAATGTCAAAAAAACTATACCAATTTTTGCAAACTTTGACAAATTTTTAAAGCTAAACGAGTTGTCGCAGGGCCGTAATATTTTAGTATGACCTAGAAAACTATGGTATCTACCGTCAAAAAAAAATCATAAAAATCGTCGAATTTTTTTTTTTAAAAACGTTATTACAAGAAAACGGCCCGGCCGATCTTTACCAAAAACTAATCAGCACGATTCCCAACCAATATCTATCGAATGGTTTTTGAATTTTCAGAATCGATTCAGAATTGCGGGCTAAAACGTGGACGAAAAATTTTCACTATTCTGCAATTTACAAAGAAACGGCCCGGCCGATCGCCGCACAAAACTCAGAACCGATAGTCCTCATCGAGATACATCGAATGACTTTTAAATTTTTGAAATCGGTCCAGCCGTTTTGGAGAAAACGTCGATTTACGGCAAAAAATCTGTTCACACACACACACACATTCTTTTTCCAAATTTGGTCTCATTCGATTCAGAATGGCTTGAAACGTCGAGAAAACATAAAATTAGCGAATCGGATTTTTTGATGAAAACATAAACTTCTCCTTCGGGAAGTTAATAAGGTAACGAGTAGTGTTTGGCAAATTGCTAGAACCTTTCGTACTGTAATAAAATATTTAAAGAATATTGAATGTTTTCAAATTATATTATTATAAATACTGCAACTTTCATTATTCGTATTTTATAGACAAAAAATAAAAGCTCATAAATTGGACGATAGTGTTCATATAAGTTTGTCTAAAAATTAAATAAACAAAACTAAATGATCCTCTTCGGAGGGGAGTTAGAATGAAGAATCATATTTCCTAATTCTAAGAATTATATAAACTAAATTTCATAGAAAAAATTACTTTTTTCAAGTATTTTAGCTAGAATTAAAATTAAAATCTGAATTATTTTCGATAATAAAAAACATATTTTTTATAATTAAAAAAAAGTGAAATTTTGAAATACAATTTTGTTTTTGCTTTTCTCAAAAACATTCGTTTTATAACCCAGTCAAATTAAGATTTCAGTTAGGAATAATTCGCATAGAGCTGAAATCTGCTACAGATGTTAAATAGGCCATTACCAATAAAATGTCAAAAGTCCCCATCGATCCGACATCTGCGATTTTTTTTATTCAAGGTCAAAGGTGCAAATATCTAGTTTTCCCCATTTTCCGCCGAAACCATAAGAAATTTTAAAAAAATATGTTAGATAAGTTTATTTATTATAAAATTCTCTATTAAATTGTTATTATTAATTTTTTTCGTTAGAATCACCGTTTCTGAGATATTGCCGTTTGAAAAGTTGAAAAATTCATATTCTTCATAATATGCGGCCTTTATACGTCATCGAACGTGTAATATAAGTAAAAAATAAGAGTCTATTAGTTTCTGTTTAAATAGTATAGGTTTAATGAAATTTTTGAAGCAAAAAACTATAGTGTCAGCCCCTAATTACCTTAGTTCTTGAGCAACACCCGCCAGCTATGTCATTTTCCTAGTGTGGGAGGGCTGTTTGTAAAGCGAATAAACGAAACTGGTGGTGTATAGCATCGAGCTTTAAAGCAAATTGCTAGAATTTCCCGTACCAAAAATTAAATTTTTCACAAAGATTCTTTTTTTTTAAACTAAAATAAAAAAAATGATTTTTGTGAATTTTGAAATTTTTGAATAAATTGACTTTTTTGGTTAAAAAAATATTTTTTTATATTTAGAAAAAATTTGGAATTTGTGAATTTTTTTTCAACGCAATAGAGCTGCATTAGCTACATGGAGACGAAGCGCGTAAGCGGATAAACAATGTTACAGAACCCATAAAAATGTGATATTAGAATAATATTAATAATTAGAAATATTAGAATCTATGTAAAATATCTAATAATGTGATGTGCATATGTCTAATGATCATTTTTGACAGTTTTTTCACTTTTTTCACTCGATATCCGAAACCGATAGACCTGCATTCTTCAAAATTTAATCAGTTGTTCATTTCGTCAATACAAGTAAAATGTATTTTGAATTTTTGAAATCGTTCTCTTATCGCTCCGTTCTCTTCAAAACTGAATTACCATTTTTGGCACTTTTTGCCCCGTATCTTCGAAACGCCTTTGCCAAAAACTAAACAGCACTTCTCCTTATTCGAATCGAATGCTTTTTGGATCATTCCAATCGGTTGAAATGTGTTCTCAAAATCGTCGACGTAAATTTGTATCTGAACACACACACACATACTTCCATTGTTTCTAAGGTATGCCAAAATGTTCAGAAACCTCTGATTTGTAAAGATATATTAAAATTTTCATTTAAGATTCTTTTGCGTTTACTATACGTTACCCTACTGGAAGTTAATAATTAAATATACATGAATGCGGAGCGTATGATGACAATCCAATTTTTAATAAATGTGCCAATATCTAGCGGCAACATGAGTTGGAAGATGAATTGTCTCTGCCAATTATATATCATTATATGATACAGTACGTCATTACTAAAAGACGAATGAATCTGATCTGAAGATATTTTGATCCAAAACGATAAAAAACGTTAATCCCAATTGCACGACCTAAGCCGAACAACAGCCCTTATACGGTAGAATCTAACATTACATATTATTATAAAATAACCCACTTTAAATCGTCGAATTATTAAATTTACTTACTTTATTTTACTTGCTCCAAAAAATATGTCAATATTTCTAGAACATAGATATTTGCTGTTGATATTTTGAAACATTCCACACGATCGGGAAAAAGTGTCATTATCATCCATTGCAGTTTAGATTTTTTAAATTGTTTTATCGCCAAAAAATAACTTTTCAATTTTTCTAACAAAAATTGATTTAAATTTAAAAAATCGACAATTCAAAGTGGATAGTTTTGGAATAATATGTAAAATTATATTGCACACTGCCCGGCTCTTGTTTGGGTTAGGTCTCCTAAATCAAGATTGCAATTGGTATTAACATTTTTATTGACATTTTGGATCAAACCACATTACACAGATTTGTTCGTCATTTGGCTGTGGCATATTGTATCATATAATGATACAAAAATGTATGAGGCAACGACAGTTCGTCTTCCATCTCATAGGTTGACACTACATATTTGCACATTTATTCAATATTATGATGAAAATTTATTGAATATTATGACTTTGAATTGTCATTATACACCCTGAAATTCATATATAGTTAAGTATTTCGTTTACTCCTCCCACACTTCCCACACTAGGAAATTATATAGCTGGCGGGTGTTGCTCAAGAACTAAGGTAATTAGAGGCTGACACTATAGTTTTTTGCTTCAAAAATTTCATTAAACCTATACTATTTAAACAGAAACTAATAGACTCTTATTTTTTACTTATATTACACGTTCGATGACGTATAAAGGCCGCATATTATGAAGAATATGAATTTTTCAACTTTTCAAACGGCAATATCTCAGAAACGGTGATTCTAACGAAAAAAATTAATAATAACAATTTAATAGAGAATTTTATAATAAATAAACTTATCTAACATATTTTTTTAAAATTTCTTATGGTTTCGGCGGAAAATGGGGAAAACTAGATATTTGCACCTTTGACCTTGAATAAAAAAAATCGCAGATGTCGGATCGATGGGGACTTTTGACATTTTATCGGTAATGGCCTATTTAACATCTGTACCAAATTTCAGCTCTATGCGAATTATTCCTAACTGAAGGCTGCTTTAGCTTTTAATTTGACTGGGTTATTAGTGCAGTAAACGGAGAGGAAAAAAGAGTATAACCTCTGAATTTTTTTACTGTGCTTCGAATTGAATGAAATTTTGGAATTAGGTTCATCTTACCCTCAAGTTCAAAAGTGAAAACAATTCGGGTTGCGCCATCACCCCCCGGGGGGGGCGACACCCCCTTCTCAATTGTGTAATTACATTTTTTTAAAATAACATCGGAAACCGATAGAAGAACTAATTATAAGAAAAAAATGTCTTTTATAGTTTTCAAAAAAAAAACTAATACTTTTCAAGTTACTGGCCACTAAAGATTCATATATTTTTGGCCTTTTTCTTCGTTTTTTTGCAAATATCTCCTAAAATATACATTTTAACGAAAATCATGTAATGAACAAAATAATGCCAATAAAAATCTTAATAAATTGGTATTACATAAAGTGTTCTAGGAAAAATATTAAGCAAGATTTGAAAGAGCAAACTCGTTTTTCATTTCGTTCAAGATTTAATTGTTGTATTTAAAGCCATCTAGTGTCGTGGTTTTACATTTTATGCATTTCGATGAAATTGGGTTTTATAGTGCTTAATATAAGCTTTAAAATGAGTGGTGTTACAAGTTTTTTGCGTGTAAAATGAGTGAGCTATCATGCAAATAAGAAGCATATACGAAGTTTTTTCCTTTTAAGTCATATGGTTTAATGAGCGCCATTTCTACCAGAATTAAAGTAATTCACATTCCGTCTAGAATTCACTTCATTATAGGCATCTTGATCGATTCTAGCAGATTCACTACTTTAGTACAAAATATTTTCAGAAAACTCACGATTTTATAAAAACTTTTTTTGGAGATTTTATAAAACCGTGAGTTTTCTGAAAATAGTTTGTACTAAAGTAGTGAATCTGCTAGAATCCATCAAGATGTCTATAATGAAGTGAATTCTAGACGGAATGTGAATTACTTTAATTCTGGTGGAAATGGCGCTCATTAAACCATATGATTTAAAAGAAAAAAACTTCGTATATGCTTCTTATTTGCATGATAGCTCACTCATTTTACACGCAAAAAACATGTAACACCACTCATTTTAAAGCTTATATTGAGCACTATAAAACCCAATTTCATCGAAATGCATAAAATGTAAAACCACGACACTAGATGGCTTTAAATACAACAATTAAATCTTGAACGAAATGAAAAACGAGTTTGCTCTTTCAAATCTTGCTTAATATTTTTCCTAGAACACTATGTAATACCAATTTATTAGGATTTTTATTGACATTATTTTGTTCATTACATGATTTTCGTTAAAATGTATATTTTAGGAGATATTTGCAAAAAAACGAAGAAAAAGGCCAAAAATATATGAATCTTTAGTGGCCAGTAACTTGAAAAGTATTAGTTTTTTTTAAAAACTATAAGATATATTTTTTTCTTATAATTAGTTCTTCTATCGGTTTCCGATGTTATTTTGAAAAAATGTAATTACACAATTGAGAAGGGGGTGTCGCCCCCCCCGGGGGGTGATGGCGCAACCCGAATTGTTTTCACTTTTGAACTTGAGGGTAAGATGAATCTAATTCCAAAATTTCATTCAATTCGGAGCACAGTAAAAAAATTCAGACCTAAAACGCTCCGTTGACTGCACTTTTTCGACAACACAAGCAAAAAGTTTTTTGAATCATTCACATCGAATGCGTCGTTCTTTAAAAAACTGCCATTTTTCACACATTTAGCTCAGTATTTTCGAAACGACTGGACCGATCTTCCCCAAAAACTAATCAGCACTAATCCCATTAATAGAAATCGATTACTTTTTCAATCATTCAAATCGATTGATCAGTACTCCCAAAAACGTCGCTGAAAAATTGTATCTACACATACATACATACATACATTAATTATTAATTTCTAATTATTTTCAATAATGATAGTAAAAATAAAACTTCATCTTTAGTAAACTTAACCAATGGAGATGATTATCATTAATACAATTTTAGATGTAAAAATGTGAAGTCACGTAAAGAAATGTCAAAGAATAATTTGAAAAATTATTAATAAAATTATTAAACACAGATACACTTTTTCGGAGATATGTCCAAATGCTCAGGAACTCTAAAACGTGAAGATATGCAAAAATTTTCATTTTCAATTTTTGGGCCATTACCATAAATTACCCTATGGGAAGTTAATAATATACCATATTCACAATTATATGAATGAAGTGCATAAAAGTTATAAGACTTATATACTTATTATAGTGTTTGAGAAAGTTCCGACTTTGCACGAAGTGAATCGTTTATTGAAAAATTTGTAAAGGTTGAGAATTATATTCAGAAAAAAATTAAATACAGAAAATCATCAATTATATACCGAAAAATCATCAATTATATACAGAAATTATATACAAATACAAGCAATTATAATTTTAATGATTGATGATAGAAATCATGACGTTTCAAGTCATTTTGAATCGTTTAAAACGCAATATTGGAGAAAGCATATGTGATTTAAAAAAACTGAAAACCATTTGATAAAACTCGCTAAAATTGTGCACTAGTACTTCGCGACAATCTAAATAGAAGACAATTAGAAGATAAGCCAACAACCGATTTTATTAAATCAAAAATTGTTTGAAAGATTTCAGTTAAGAATCATGCTGATTTAATTATTAGCTAATACTCAATTTGTATTAAATGCCGATTATTTATACAGATCGTGTAGTTTCTGTCTTTTCCCTCAGCCAAAATGCAACTTACATCTAATTATTATATAATTCTAGTCTTCGGTACACTTTTGCTACTTTCTCCCATTTCTCTCTTGGATAATGTTTAAAACTTGGGACGAACATTTTTTCGGTTAACTTCTATGCACAGTGAGAATAATGAAATTTGATTTAAGAATTGCTTCAGAATCTGTGAATATATTTACTAGTTTTAGAACAACAAACTATCCAATTGAAAAATTAAACAATATCTTCTCGTATCATTTCCCAAATAAGTAAACCCATTAATTGTTCACGTCATTCGTTATTTGGAATGTTTTTTTATTAATCTGCACTTACATTTCGAGGGAAATAACTCCACAAATAACATTATTTTCCACAGGTCAAATTGACCAACCGCGGTAGTTAGGCCACATAGCAATTTTTTTTCGGAAAATAGAAAGAATAACTAGAATCAAAGAGTGAAGAAAAATTTTATAAATAAATTTTAAAAATTGTCATATAGTTTGATAATGGCATTTTAACGTTCAAAAACATTTAAGTTTGAAGGTCTGAAACAGTCAATTTGACTAGCGTTGGTCGGTTTAGTGTTAATCTATCAAATCTTTATTTATACGTATACATCTTAGGGTGGTCCTTATGGACATTTTCGAATTGCCTTGCTCCCAAGGGCTCAAATGGTTCCAAATTAATAAAAAACAATTCTCTGAAAGTTTTAGCTCTTAATATTAACTTTTAGATAGTGCGCAATTCAATCAATCAATACTTTGTATGGAAATAGCATGGAAAAAAATTTGAAAATTAAAAAAAAATTCTTAGGTATAACCTAGCGACTAATTTTGAATATTTGTTCGCTAAATAATATCTAAACACATTTTAAAATTTTTTTTTCATACTATTTCCATACAAAACTTTGATTGAATTGCACACTATCTAAAAAACAATATTAAGAGCTAAAACTTTGAGAGAATTGTTTTTTATCAATTTGGAACCATTTGAGCCCTTGGCAGCAAGGAAATTCAAAAATGTCCATATTAGGAACCACCCTAATACACCTAATATGAAAAATCTAAGCACATATATACTCGTATTTAATATCTTATTATAACGATCAAAATATTCAAATTTGATCGATTATTACTTTAAACTTACCCATTCTGATAGGAATCATAAGCGCCAAAGTGATCATCATCATTTTCTTTGCTCCAAATTTCAAATACTCGTCTATGAACGGACTAATAAATCTACCAAAGATGTCAACAGTTGATATAACTGTCATGAAAAACGCAATGTCATTGGAGCTAAAAGACAGATCCTGCATCACAAACGGCGTTATTTGAGCGAAGTTGATATCTACGAATATGGTGAGGACCATTCCCAAAAGCACATTCAGTACAACACTGTCAGTTAATATGTCCAAATCTAGGAACTTGACAACAGCCGCTATAGCTCTGCGAATCCGGCACGTCGACTGTGTGTTGGATCTGCGGATTAGGGAATTTATTAAACAATGGCGAGATATGGACATAACATACAAGCAATTATATGTAAATGTCTAACTTTTGACATATAATAGATTGATCCTATATGTGGATGTCATTACATGATGGATTCTGTATATTGGCGATAATACTGGAGAAACCGATAAGCAACATATGGGCTACTATAGTACGGTTTGGGCTATTTAATTTTTTCTTCAATCAAGAGATGATTTACTGTCTCTTGTTTGCAATTAGAAATATAATAATTTTGTACCACATCAATTTACGAAGGATAATTATTTGAGAAAAAAGTTATAAAAGTAAAATTCATTAATAACTAAACCATTATTATGACAACATATGTTTAGTAACTGATTAAATGATTAAATAAAGAAGATTTTATTTCATTACATTAATCACATAAAAATCACAAATATAAACGCACAACTATTTGGCACCGATTACTAGTGGGTACTGAAATTTTATATGATTCATGTGAATTATTAGCTAATACTATCAGTAAATTCTACAAAATAATCAATATGAACCAATAATCATATTTTTATATGATTCTTCTGCATCTGAATCAAATGCATGTAAAAAGAAAAATTAAAGAATTGTTTGACTTATATTTTACATGCATTTTATTGCTGAAGTAACAAGAGATATATAGTTAATTTAAATAACCTTATATCTCTTGTTACTTGATCTATTTGAAGTTTATGACTGACTATACTATAAACAAATTGTATTGAAGAATTATTGGGATTTTTGTTTTATTTATATAATCTTAGTAATTTTTACTTCTTGGTATACAAGTTCAATTTCTTGCTTAAACTCGTTATTTGATTTACGATGTTATAAATAATGCTAATATTTTAACGTTTGATACTGTAATTTCTATTATGGCATCTTTGGATTTACAAAGATTTAGTCATTATAGAAAATGTTCAAAACATAATTTTATATTAAACGATCCATTGTGATTTTTCAAGTAAATATTTCTCATTTTGTGGATTTTATTTATTTGAAGATTCGAAATCAACATGCATTATTTTCAACAACTTTGATATTGAATTAAAATGTTAATAAATGCTTTTTACTATAAAAATCAAATTATTAGGCTTTTATTTGTTGTAAATAAATGTATTTTATCACATTTTCAAAATCTATCCAACAATCATTGTTGCAAAAATATTAATATAATTTTACCATTTTAAAACAAGTAAAAACAGTTTCAATTATTTATGAAAATTTCGATTCCATAAAAGAATTCATAAATTATAATAAATCAAATTTTTTATCAAACGTAATTTCAATTAATAAAATTGCTTATCAAATATTTGTGAATAAAAGAGGAGATTTTACAATTAACTCTAAGCAAGTCTATACCCTTCATATATTATTAATCATTTTAGGGAATGATTAGATAAAGATGTTATGAAGTTATATTAAAGACTAGCATTCCATGATAATGAAAAGTACGGAAAACGCCAATATTATTGAAAACTAATTTATATAACATTTTATCGAAAACAATATGCTATTTCAAAGTTGTTTTGCGCTGAACTCTTGTTATTGCATTCATATTTAAAACTTCCCGTAGAGTAAGTTACATAGTAATCGCAAAAAATCGAAAATAAAATTATTTATATATCTTTACGATTCCAAAGTTTCTCAACATTCTGGCATACATTAGAAAAAATGATTATAAAAATGAATAAATAGTTATTTCTAAGCATAAAAAAATGTGTGTATGTGCGGGTGCAAATTTTCGACGACGAATTTGGGAGAACGGATCAACCGATATGAATAATTTAAACTAGTGGGGTGTATGGCATCATGCCTTAAGGAAAATTGCTGGAACTTCCCGTACTGTAACGAAATGTTCGAGGAATATTGAATGTTTTCAGTTTTCAGTTTTCATTTCTCATAAATATTGTAACATTTCCTAATATTTATAAGAATTATATAAACTGAATTGCAAAGTTGAAATTATTTGTTTAAAGCATATTAGAACTTTAGTCAGAATTAAAAATAAAATCTGAATTATTTTTGCAAAAAAGAATTGTCTGAAAAAAAAAATTGAAAAAAAAATTTGCTACAATTTTTTTCCCCAAAATCAATTATTTACACATTTAGATTTTGCACATTTAAATCTGTATCTTTGAAATGACCACTTCTCCCAATCATTAATAATTGAATGTTTTTTTAGATCATTCGAATCGGATGCTCCGTTCTCTCAAAAACTCTATTTCTATTTTCTGCACTCTTTGCTCTTTATCTCCGTAACTGCTGCACCTGCCTTTCCAAAAACTAATCAGCACATCTCCCTATCAATAGGAATTGAATGTTTTTTGAACCATTGAAATCGGTTGATCCGTGCGCCCGAAAACGTTACTGAAAAATTATATCCATACGTACATACACACAAACATCCATTTTTACTGAGATATGCCAAAATGTTCAGAAACCTTCAAACCGTCGAGAAATGCAAAAATTTTCAATTTCGATTTTTGGACGATTACAATAACTTATCCTTCGGGAACTTAAAAATATTTAATTCCTATTAGTGGAAAGACGTGTTGATTAGTTTTTGGCAAAGGCAGGTACAACCGTTTCGAAGATACGGGAAAAAAAGCCAAAATAGTAATTGCTTTTTTGAGATAAGGGAGCGTCCGATTTAGAACATTTAGACAATAGACATAGGCACATCAAATTATAATTAGTACACATTTTGTTCCATTTCTATGGGTTCCGTACCAATGTTTACCTGATAGGCTGCAGCGCGGTGTTAACGCGCTTCGTTATTTCGTCTCTAAAACAGCTACGCAATGATTGTTTTGAAGAAAAGGTTCAAAGTTTTCAAAAAACTTTGAAGTTTTTCTTAAAAAAATCAATTGTACGGTTTCAGCAATTTGCCGTAAGGCACGATATCACGCACAAATAGTTTCTGCTGCGTTCATATACAGTGGCGGATCCAGCTTCGGCGCCAGGGGGGGGGTCATAATTGAAAAGTTTTTAGTATGTAACAAATTATATATATATATATATATATATATATATATATAAGAGATAGAGCGGGGCTTAAAGATCCGCAGGTAGAAAGGTCTATCACCGATATCTCAACAAAAACAAGTAAAGTTTTAAAGATTTCTTAACAACAATATTTGAAAGTAGAGGGAAAAATTGTACAACCAGCCATCCCATTGATTCTTACGACGTTTAAAAAAGCATTTTTACAAGAGATAAATTAAATAAATATTTTTTCCAACTCTGCTGATGAATATTTTGGACAAAATACCAAATCAAGGTTATATACAGAGTCATCTTTGTAAAAAATTTATTCATAAAAGTTATATTTTGCGTTGGCTGAATAATGTTCCTATTATTTCGTTAAATTCCATTAAAATTAAAAATAATACATTAGATTGTTTGTTCTCTCGTCGTCCGATTTTACCGCGCCCATGGGGTAAAAAAAAACAAGTGACAAATTTTTGAAAAACAGCAAAAAACACATTTCTACAGTAATGAGATAGCTGGGAGATGTACTAAACATAAACATAAACATAGTCAGATAGTTCTTTGTTCAATGTGTCTTATTTGTTATGTTTTTCGTTTAGTTTTCACAATATAATTGCTCATAATTAATTTGGACCCTCCTTACATATATATGCATTTTTTTAAAAATAATCTGCGCCTTTGATGTGGTTCAATATTTGACCTTTGATTAGTTTTGTGAGTCGATTGGTTGATCCGATTCTTTACTATTGGCATAAAAGTGCAAAAATTATCGTCCATGTTTTTGTCAAAAATTCTTAACCGTTTTAATAAATGGTTTTTTGAGAAGATCGGCCAAATTGTTTCTTTTTCATAATAGATTGTTAATTTTTTTGTGATTTTAGTTAAATTTTGCATGGCGATAGAGATTCTGCTCTAAATGAACATACTAAACTATATTAAGGCCAGTGACAAGTGGTTTACTTATGATAATTAAAGTTTGGATTATTTGGCCGCGCTTTTAGAAAATTCACCGCGCGAAATACATATTCGGCTCAGTATTTCGTATGTGTTCGTTTTCCACCAATGTATAATGTTTAAACCATTTTTCAACTATTTATTGATATTTTGCCTTGAAGCAAGTTACATGAACTTCCCGATATGTGTAAATGATCGACTTAATCAATAAAAAATAAATTAACTTATGAGTGGTTAAAAGTATTCCGGGTGGATTTACTACACATAATTGAAAAGAACGAATACGTTAACGAAAATACTCCGAATTTTCTAAAAGCAAATTTTTAAAAATCAAAAATTTTCGTAATTGGACCAGTTTCCGTAGGACTTTAATGGTTTAGTATGTTAAGAACAAGTACTCTATCGTTATACCAAGTAAATCGTCTAATTTTAATTTAAAAAAACGTCAAAAAACTACTTATTTTCTCAAACTTTGATGAATTTTTAAAATAAAACTACTTGTCGTAAGGCCATAATAATTCAGTAAGTTGTATAAGACCATGATATATATCGCCAAAAAAAAATTCATAAAAATCGGCTTAATTTTTTTTTCAACAGTTAATTACAAGAAAATGGCTCGGTAGATTTTCACCTTCCCAACTAATTTCTTTCGAACAGTTTTTGATTTTTTAAAATCGATTCGGTAGTATAAGCTTAAATATGGGCAAAAAGTTTAACACCTTTTTGCAAATTACAAAGAAACGGCTCGGTCGATCGTCGCACAAAACTGAGAAAAGATAATCCACATCAAAATAAATCGATTGGCTTTTAAATTTCTGAAATGGGTTCAGGCGGTTTTGAGCAAACGTCGATAAAAGATTTAATTTTGACAAATGCCAAAAAAACGATACTAATTTTTGCAAACTTTGACGTATTTTTAAAAATAAACGACTTGTCGTAGGATCGTGATATTTTAGTATGATCTATAAGCCTATGGTATCTACCGTAAATAGAAATTCATAAAAGTCGAAAATTTTTTTTAACACTTTATTACAAGAGAACGGCCCGGCCAAAAACTCATCAACACGATTTCCAACCAATATCTTTCGAACGGTTTTTGAATTTTCAAAATCGATTGAGAATTGCGGTCTGAAACGTGGACGAAAATCTTTTAACTTCTCTGCTATTTATAAAGAAACGGCTTGGCCGATTGTTGCACAAAACTGACAAACAATAGTCCTTATCGAGGGGCATCGAATGGCTTTTAAATTTTTGAAATCGATCTTTCAGTCTTTTTTGAGAAAACGTCGATTTACGGCAAAAAATCTGTTCACACACACACGCACACTTTTTCCAAATTAGATTTGAATGAAAAATCAGAATGGCTTGAAACGTCGAAAAAACATAAAATTAGCGAATCAGAAAACAAACTTCTCCTTCAGGAAGTTAAAAATAACTACTATATTAAAAAAATTGCATTATTTTATCACTTCAAAATAGTTTACAGCATTAGGTATACTTCTCTAAATTCATTATTTATATATTAAGTCGTTTATTTTACAGATGTTAGGGATTACAGAAAGTTCATGCCTAAGGCCCACTCACAATTAGCTTATTTTTTTGATTTTTGAATGAAATTTTTTTCTCAAACTGTAATACCTAATTCAAAACTATGTATAGACTGATGATGATATATGTAATGATGAGATGATATATGTAAACTATGTATAGGTACATCATATATTCGCAATACGATTAGAAGATTCTTAAATTTTAGGAGTCTTTGACTCCGCCTTTCGTCTATAATAAGTTAAATATTCAAGTTATAAAAAGAGTTTGGTAACAAAATACATAAATAAAATCATTATGAAGTAATCTTGTTGTTGAATTAATGTTTTATCAATGTACTAAAACAGGCTCAGGGGGGGGTCATGACCCCCGTGACCCCCTCCTGGATCCGCCACTGTTCATATAATCTTCTAAAGACTTTGTAACTAAAGTTAGTTAAGACATAAAATCTAATTCAATGCTAACATTGCATCTCTTAAGCTAAGACCAAATTAGCACATATTAAAAATCGATTCGGATTATTTAGTACCTATTTGGTACTAATAATAGAAAAATGTACCATATGCCATTAAAAAAAAATACACGTGGCGCTGCTAGTTTAATTGAGTATACTCAAGTCATCCGTATTATTTTCCACACAACACTATTGTATGGAAAATATTTATATTTACTTGTTTTTGCAACAATAGAACATATTTGGAATGAAAATATATTATATCATTGATCAGAAACCTATTTTGTGTCGGCTTTCCTGTGGATGTTTCCGTCCTCTGTTCCGACCCATTATTGTCGATTTTATTCGCGACATTCGTCGTCGGTATTTTCTTCATGTGCCATTCGACTGGTTGCAGGAGTAATGCGGCCATTATCGTGTGCGTCGATATTGCGCCCAATATCAGGATACATCCAAAAGCACCATAGTGGCTCATCAAACCGGTGATAAAATAAGGGAAAAATATTGGACCCAGAGCTGCAAAAGGCACATCAAATAAACATTTTAGAGCGGATTGAACATTTGCGCGATGGACAGCACGCAATAAAAACAAAATTAGATATATAACATCGAAAACATATATGAACATTTTAAATTAAAAGAGTACCTCACTGATATAACTCGTTTGATAGAAGTTTCAGCTATATGCGTGTATAGAAGGCGTTTTAATTAAACCGATGCTGGAAAGCGAGGAACTTAAATTGCAAAACAAAACTAGAGGATAAACTGGATATCAAAATAATAAACATTTTCATAAAATATAATAATTAATAGACCAAAATTGAATTATATGAAATCAATCTTCTAAATTGGAGGTGTAATAACGAGGTATTTTTTGTTAAAGCTCCAACCTCCAACAATAATATTACTAATACTATTATAGTTAGTTAATATGTTTAACTTGAGAATGCAGCCACATTGTTTAGTACTACTCGAATGGTTCTAGAAAGTAGCCAAATAATAAACTATATATTTATTTATCAAAGTATCTACACAAAATTTATTTAAATCACAATTGTAATGACACATAATATAGATAAGTACTAAGGAATTGCTAACAATATAATGAAATCCCTTACCCACTTGCAAAGATGGCAACTAATAGTTTTAAAAGACGGAAGACATTAGTGCTATAAGTGAATTTAAAATAGCATTATACTTAGGAATAGGATACTTATAAAATATGTGAATTTGAGAATAGAATCTAGAAACGTTCTAGATTAGGGTTTCTTGAACTATTAGTCACAATGCCAAATATTATTATTATTATTATTATTATTATTGTTTGAACAGCAATCAGAACTTCTATATATTCTATAAGCTGTTGGTTAACGACTTAATACTACTTTATTTCATGAGAGGCAATCCATCGATTAACCATTCTCTTATGTGTGGGATATTTTTGATATTAGCTCTTACGTCTAATAGTTGCATATGATTGGATGTTGCAGCTATGTCCACGAAGGACGATTTCCACTTGGAATTATATTGTGATCTATAATCCCAAGTGGAAATTTGACATCAAAGCTGCCTGATGTCGGGCTACGGCGGTAGCGGGAATCGATCAAGCGAACCTGGGACTAGTTGCTGCTAGCCCACGCTCTAACCGATATCGCCACCGCCGGCCCACAATGCCAAATATGTATGTATTATTTTATAACATCTCGTCGTGTTTGTATGTTTTGCAACAAATTATAAAACAATATATTTTCATTTGCATATGTATATTATTCCCTAATATAAATAAATTATCTAAAAATATTAATTTTTTTTTATATCTGCGTGGGTTTGTAAAGAAACTCGCTAAATCAAGAGACTAATAAATAAATTGTTTAAGTTTAAGAATTATAGATGTTTAAGAATTTATAGACAATCTTCTTAAGCATTATTATTGAGATTACATAAAAAATACTTACAACACATATACTTTCTGTAAAACGCGGTGAGACGAGAGATGTTATAGTAAATCATTTAATAGCTCTAATCTGAAAACCAATGAATTGAGTAAATATAATTACCTGAAAGTGTAACAGTAATGCTAGTAGCTCTATTCAGTTTTTCCTTAAAATACAAGTTAACTGCAGTTGAGAATGCAGTCATCAGCACCATTCCGCCCAGAGCTAATTTCATACAAAAAAATCATTTAGAAACATTTCGAAAACAAATTATATAATTATTAATTGATTTACAGTATAATATATATATATATATATATATATATATATATATATAAAGTTATCGTCTGACCTAAATCATCTGCTTTCATTCAAAATCTGTCTCTATTCAGGCACTACAGCACGTCTGTATAATTTAATTAATATAGTAAATAATTACAAGTTTTAGGTTCGATTACAATAATGAAATTGTAATATGAAATATTAACTATAAAATACAGTTTAAAATATGATTATTATCTGTTAGCTGTTAGTGACAAGTACATTGGTTGTTAAGTAGTATCAACATTTTTTCAGTATATTTGTAATGCTTATAAACCAATGACTATTCAAATTGGAATTGTCGTAATAAAGTAAAAGAATTTTTGCACTTCAAAATATTTAGTATACTTTCAGGTTATACTAGAATGAAATAAATTAAAAATATCAACAATTTCAGATAATTGTTGCAATATTTGAAAACCTTAGCAGTTTATAATGTTTACAGATGTTAATCAAAAATATGCAACTACAAGAACTGGATTCAGACGAGATGGCATAGGGCATCGAGTATGAATAATATGAGGATCTCTAACTTTCTTCAAAATCTTTTTCCTGAGATACAGTGTAAAGGGAAAACCCATATTGCCAGCTTTTTTCATGGTCGGAATTTTTGCTTCTTAATATTTATCACATATCAGCGTTTCGTTTTAAATGTAACATTTTGATACAAGTAAACAGTAACAGTATATAAACGACGTGAATACAAAAAAAAACATTAGACACGGAAATTAGTTTTATACTGGCTACGACAAACGTTGCGACGCATAGACACATTGGTGAAAGGAAAAATTACGCATTGGTATAGGTACAGAAAAATTCGACCAGAAAGAAAACTGGCAACATGTAGGAAGAAGTCCCGTAACGCCGGACGGCATCTAGCGCTGGACACTCTATTTAATATGTATTTTTTAAGCAATTATAAATATTTTCATTTCAAAATACAAGTGAAGGGGGCATGGGGGGCACACAGGTACATGACCACGCGCCCAGCCTCGCCTGTTATGCACGGCGGACGCAACCCTTTCCTGTTTCAGACGCAAAATCATGGCGTCATCTAAATATCAATGGAAGTAATTCTAGCATATTTATGCATTTACATTTGAGTGGTATGCAAAGATAAAAGTTGTACTTGATCGTTATTCTTAAAATGGTAGAATATTATTAGATCTTTTGAACAATTTTAGTAGGTGCCACCAAATGAACAAAATTGCCTGTCCCTTAGCACCGGACACTAAGTCGTCCTTTAGTGCCGGACACTAAGTCAGTCGTTTAGTGCCGGGGATTTCTTGTGAGAATTTACGTAATTTATACCAATTTTTAATTTTGTTCTGTATGAGTGCTAACGTAACGTTTTTCGTATTTCCAAGTCAAAGAATGAAAAGCTAACGGTGAGTGCACCAGCTGAGTGTATCGCTGTGGCCCGGGCAAAAGGGTGGATGGATAGTGACTTTTTTTCCAATATCTAAGAATATTTGTCAAAGACACATGTGCAGACATTGCAGAATGTGGAGATGGCTACATATGTGATCAATGCAGGTTATTTTGAAATGTCCGGTGTTAGGTGCCACTGTTTAAAGTCATAATTTTTGATACCAAATTTTGATTGATAGTATTAATCATTTTCTAGCAAATATCGCGGTTTTGTTAACTTAGTTTGATTTCTAACTTTGTTATCTAACATAAATCATATTTTAATAAACATTTTGTAAAATATTTTTTGATTTATTTATAAATAACCTTAGGTGTCCGCCACTAAGGGACTTTCTCTAATGCATGCCCGATGCCCTACAGCGACTCACCTAATTTGAAAAGTTGTATTTTATGTTTTATGTGTTCATGTTAATCAAAGGAATATATACTAATTATACAATTTATTTTAATCTTTTTAAAATAAACCCATCATCCAATAGCATTCTTTGATTGACAAATTCACATGCCATGGCTCGATCCTAACGTAACAAAACAGTGCTTAATTTTTAATGAAGTTCAATGGAGTTAACTGACTAATTAATAATTCTCTAGCATATTCATAATCAAATCGGTTGCATTACTAATGAAAATAAAATGTGCCCGCTTCTTAAAATATTGTTAGATATCGTTAAATATAAAGTATGTATAATCACATAGGTATACCATTTTTCAACTAACACATGATTAGCCCGAAAGTCAGGAGGAGTTGGGTAAAACTCGTAGCGAATGCACTCAGCATAATTCCTCCGCTTATCATGAATCCTCCGAGGAGTCCAAGAGCGCGGTACCCGATCAGTTTAAGCAGAGGACCATTCAGCAGCCCAAGTAGCATACCCGTTGCTGCGTTCGCGTTCATCAATACGGACACGTCGGTAGCGGACAGGCCCATGGTAGCAAATCTTTGGGCGAATATTAAACCAAACACATGTCCCATGGGCATCACTAGAGTCTGTCAAAACAGTAACTTGTTTTTTATAATTGCTTATTCATTAATAGAATCTATTAACGAAATATTATATCTAAAGATTCGTTTCTAACATAAAATATGATTTTGTAAATTTAAACGTAGTTGTAACATCAAAAGTGGTAGGGGGTAATGAATGTTTCCTCATATAGATAGCTATAGATTGTTAGTAAATAATCGATGATCACTTCTTATCGTGATGGTATAAATTAATCTTACCGTCAGCTAATTACCTAGCCAACCTACCTGAAAGAAAGTAGTGGTGTGAAGCTAAGCTTATTTAAATTAATGATTAAATAAATTAATTAACTAGTAGGGCGCGTGGCATCGCGCCTTAAGGCAAATTGGTGGAACTTCCTGTACCAAAAAATATATTTTTTTTAAAAAGATTAACATTTTTGAAAAAATTTATTCTGAAAAAATTAAATTTTTAGAAACTATAAATTTTTGACAAAAATTTACTTTTTTTTGAAAAAAAAAGATTTTTTGAAGAAATATTTATTTCAAAATACATATTTTGGAAATTCGAAACTTTTTTCCGTCAGAGACCGTTTTTGGCACTTTTTGCGCTAAATCTTTGGAACGGCTAGACCTGCCTTCGCCAAAAACTAATCAGCACGTCTCCTTATCAATACGAATCGAATGTTTTCTAAATTATTCAAATCGCAAACACATACACATATACGCACACACACACATACACCCATCTTTTCTAATGTATGCCAAAATGTTCAGAAGGTTTTGCAACGTAAAGATAAATAAAAAATTTCATTTTCGATTTTTTTGCGATTACTATAACTTGCCCTAAGGCAATTTAATAAAAATGATTGATTTAATTAAATGATTAAATAGAATTCAATAAAAATAAAAAAATTGTAATTTTTCATCAATAATTTAAAAAAATGTAACATATGAGTAATATTATAATAATAAACCTCTAGAAAAATATAAAAATTTTTTTTTCAAAGTTTCAGAAATTATTTGGCTATTTTAATCACTATGAATAATCTTATATAAAATTCGGATTTTTGCATGTAAATGCCTGCAAATTAATAAATACTTTAAAAATTCAACCTTTTGGAGAAATGGTAAGTGTCGCGACTATCACTATAGTAAAAATCACTCATTTATTTAGATATAAATTATTCTTGCAAGATTGTACACAACTCAATATAAGTATAAGATAAGAAGTTTAAATTAGAAAATGCAAACGATAGAATGCTGCCACAGTATATAAAATGGTAATAATTATGCATATTATTAAAAGCTATAATCAGTTCTGTTCTCACTATATAAAGTTATAATTAAACACTTATTATATTTAGAATAATATAAAAATAATTCATAACTCATCTACGAAAATAAACCTATATTAATATAGGATTGGGTACGGTTGTGACACTTTTTTTGTGAACAGTATTAATTTTTCAAATTTATCAGTTAGCCGGGAATAAAGTAAATTAAATGGCAGTTTGAACGTTTCTCTACAAGGAAATACTGAAATACAGTCCTTAAATACGATGGATTATTATTAATTATTAATTAATCAGACATAAAAATGAGTTAAAAAATAATAGCTATAAACACCAAAATGTTTTATACGACTTTTATTGCCAGAAATATGTAACACAACACAATATAATCATTTAAACAGTGCTTATGAATATAATATAACAGTATATAATGAAGCAATGTTTTTAAAACAATAAATCTTTATGAAATCTTTAATTTACTGGTATTGAATTTGCATATTCCTTTCTCTTTAGTAATTTGTCGTAGTTCAGTTGGATTCTTCTTCATCTGTTTGAATTTCACACAAAAAAGCATGAAATACATTTTTTAACATATATATGTCACATAAAACAAAACTAATTGCTAGTAATGAACTAATAATGTTCCACTTACAGCAAAATAACAAACAAAAGAATCTGTATACAAGTAACAGTTAATATTAAAAGAAATCGAACAAAAAACTTACTTTTGGCTCTTCAAAAGAAATTTTGTCTAAAGATTATGTAAATGTAGAGCAATACAATAATATAAATTTGTTCGAATAAAAATACTTCATCATTCTCCGCGTCATCCATTATAGCTTATCTGTTATGACGATTGCCACTATCCTAACTTGGCACAACCGAACCCAGTTTTGCTTATATACTCGCAAAAATCAATTTTTCTAAACGCAGATTATAAAATTTTATTTTCGATTATTTTTTATATGGTAATGAGCCCTTTATAATGAAGGTTATTTCAAATTACAAAGGTTAATTTGCTGACAAAAAATGTTTCGTCAACAATGTTGATGTTAATTATAAGGCTCTCATTCAAATAAGATAAAATTGCAAAGATTCGTTTAACTAGATGCAATTTCTATTGAATTTATCAAAATAAATCGTTTGATTATAAATCGCAATTAAGATTCAAAATATATTCATTATGATAAAATTGTAGGACTATATCTGTAGGACTATATCTGTATTGTAAATTAGGTAAGAAATGTTGTTATCTTTATTTATGATAAAAAGACGTAATAGACTTTAGAAGAATACATTTAAAGTCATTAATATTATAGTTATTTTCATTAATAAATTCAAATAAACATATAGTGAGTTTGTTTATTTTATGATATTGTTCTCTCTATATTATTCTCTATATTATTAGAGTGACTTGCAATATAAACTGAGATACTCTGTTTACATATTTTGCTGCAATCATCACTATTAAATAATTGATTATTTTAAATATTTTAATTACTTTAGAAGACGCTATATGAACTATATAAACAGCAGTCATTTTGCTGTTAACAAACCGAAGGCTGAATTTTCAATGAATATTGGATAATATTAACTCTACTATTTTTATATTAAGAAGCAATCAACATCTATGAATTAATCACATAAAATCATATAAAAATAAAATAATAAAGATAATTTTATATATAAAGAATAAACTAATTACTTATAGTATTCATATTTAAACAACAAATATATTGCAGATAGATTTATAATTCAAGTAAATTTGATAATTTTTTTTTATATTTTTATATAATTTGTTTTAATAGGCAAGAATGTTTTATAATAGTTCTGTTAAAATATTATTCAATTCATTTGGTTATTACATAGTCTACAGTGTGGACTCCACACCAGGTATTAAATACTAAATTACAAATAATAAAAATGCATATGTAAATGAAAATAAGAAAATTTATCTTACATATGACAGTTAATTGCTGCATTAATGTATTTTGAATGTCAGTGTCATTATTAATTAAGTTAAAAAACATTATCGATATGCAAGAAATTAAAAAACCATTATACCTTTAAATAACAATATAACTAGTAATGCGTGGCATCATGCTTTAAAGCAAAATGCTTGAACTTCCCGTACCGTAATGAAATATTCGAGGAATATTAAATATTTTCAAATTGCTTATTATAAATGCAGTAACTTTTATTATTCGGATTTTATAGAAAAAATATAAGAACTTATAAATTGGACAATGACTTTCATATATGTTTACATTAAACGTAAATAAACAATACATGATCAAATGGAGTTAAAATGAAAAATCTTATCTCATACTTCTAATTGTAAGAATTATATAAACTGAATTAGGAAGTTAAAATTATTTATTCGAAGTATATAAGTGAGTTAGAATTTTTAATTTTAGAAATAAAATTATAATCCGAATATTTTTTGTAATTCAAAAAAAATTTTTTTTGTAATTTTTAAATATTTTTTTTTGCTTTCCTAAAACACCAAACATTTCTTCACAAGCAAATTATTCTTTAAATCAAAGTAATCGGATACTTTGTCCTCTCAAAAATTGTCATTTTTCATACTTTTAGCTCATTATCTCTGTAACGGCTGGACCTGTTATTGCCAAAACACATCTTCTCATCAATAAGAATTGAATGTTTTTGAATCATTTAAAGCGGATACTCTGTCTTCTCAAAAAATTAATTTCGATTATCTGTATCCTTTTGCTTACACACGTATACATCCATTTTTTCTAAGGTATGTCAAAATGTTCTCTTAATCGTGAAGATATGCAAATTTTTTCACTTTCGATTTTTGGACGATTACAATAACTTACCTTACGCAACTTCAATAAATAGGATACATTAAGAAGAAAAATTCTTAGTTAATAATTTTAGGACAATCTACAGCATTGAAACAAAGTTTTATATGATAGTGGCATCAAATAATAAATAATTAATAAAAACTAACATAAAGAAGAATATCACAAGAGTTAAATTACACGCAAATTAACTTACTTGAATAAGCGAACTTCCCAATACGACCATCCAGCCCCATCCTCCATCGGGCGGAACCAGCTGTTTCGCGGCACTCATCACTACACTTCACGGTTTATCACAGAAACAATAAATCGAATAAAAAATCAATATACGATATACATATAAAACCTTTTATGGATCTAAAAAAGTGTTCGAATTATTCCGCATGACCTTTTTTAAAGCAAGGCGGTAATCACTCGCACGTGAACTTGATGCGCCAGTATCTGCCAGTGACAGTTGTTATATTCAATATTTTTTTCAATATAAATCTACTGCGAGTTCGATTCGACTGAGGAAGACAAGAACATTAAACGAATGAGTATTATTAATTCGAGATAATAAATAAATATGTGTTTTTAGTTGCGATATCATTGTTCAAGCGGGACTTATCAAAACGGACATCAACCGTTGTATGATGAATGATAACTTTTCTTTTCATATAAGTTAAATTAATATTTATTCTATAATATGTCAATGTAATTATTTAGTTTTAATTTAATTGTCCTAATTTAAAAGTCGTATCACCATTTGCACATAACATTATTACTTCAATTAATGCAAGACTAAGATTATTTATTAATTTTGCACAAATTACACAATTCACATACATTATCTTCTCATTATCTTCATATCAAAATGATAATGAGGCATCAGTAATTTCACATAACTCATATAAAAACATATCTAATTTTTATGTAAATAACAAACAAATTATCTAATCAGTAAAAAATTTTGTGTGTTAGATAATATAACTTCAATCTCTCACAATTGTCACTTAACTGAATTCAAGGCCTCAATCAAGGCAATCATTACTCTGCGGTGTTACGTGTATGTGTATTAAATTATCACATACATGCAAATTTTACGTTGTATATGAATAACATAGATATGTAGTTAAGTTTTTTTTATGGATCCATTTACATTTACATATGAACTGAAAAAACTCTTGATTATTAACGAAAAAATTTATATCAGATTTTTTATAAATACATACACACGTCTTGACCTTATAAATTTAGATTTGATTCACGTTCATATTTGTAAAGCGTGTTGAATTTTTCAATATATAAACAAATTTCTACAGTAATTTGCATTTTATTATTAACTCTTTGGGGACGGCTGTCCACCTGAGTAGACAAACATACTCTGTGAGGCACAAGGTATTTTATAAACAATGACTCAGTTTGCATCGAAAAGTTGAATAAATTACATATAGCAGTGATAAACGGTGTTGTATTTTGAAAATAATTTTAAGTTATTTTAGTAGTATTTATAGCCTTTTTCTTTGCTATATTGTCTTTTTTTTAAATATTAGAAAAGATCGAGCGCTTTTAAATGGCAATACGACTGGTAAATTTTGTGAATTAAGCAGTAGTAAAGAAGAGTTTCAAATAGACATTCATATAGACAAATTTTACGAAATTACTATTCGCACTGAAGATAGTGATGAATGTGATGATATCCAACCAACAAAAAGAACAAGTTCGACAAATTAAATGAAGAGTGGAAAGACATTAGCGAATGTGCCGATTCTCCTTCAATAACCGAGTTTGACATACATCAATACAAATACCAAGCAATATAAGATATCCAATAGATTATTTTACTTTATATTTTACAAATGAATTATTAGACAATATTAGAAAGATACCAGGAGAAAGGCGGCGAACTACATTTTATTGTAAAACGTCCCGTAAGTGTTAAATGACCAGAATCTGTATTCGAAATTCAGGCAAAAGCAAAACGAGTTAAGATTTATGTTTTTTTTTTATTCTTGAGCAATGGTTTCAGAACCCAGTTCTATTAACTGTTGTTATGAGTTAGTTAACTACGTCTCCTTTTTATGTAGTTATCCCAGGGTCGTCCTATCTATATATGATGAATTTTCGTAATAATCATGAATTTTTGTAATACTGATGTTTTTTCTATTGACACAGTAGTACCTGGTAAATCACGTGAAAACTTATAGCGCTTCCAAGTGAAAACCGATATAGTACTGCTTGATATCAGGCTGCCCAAGGCACACTTCATAGCCTTGACTACTAATTGGCTGGTAGCCCTGGATTGATGTTGATGCCAATTTTATTACAGTGATATGGGATGAAGCTGCGGTTGGTACTCCATTAAAGCCACGTAAAACAGATTAAAAATTACGATTATTTGTAAACTTGTCAAACCATGTAAAACCAACAGACCAATCACTACATATAAAATGAATAATAAAAAAGTGTTTATCTTTTGAATTTTTATTATGAGCCAATATTGGTTGCCAGTTTTGGTATTTATTGATTAGATCGATGGTTTGCCATGATGGAAAAGACTCTGATTCTGAGATGCCTGGTATTTATATGTTTTCAGATAACGGAACATCTTTGCCATTAATGTTCAAGGATGGATTTTATTCAGGGATAAATATAGTCGCCGTACATATATAAATTTGATATCTTGGTGCGATATTCCTTCTTCTATTGCGATAGCATGTTTATTCTTTATAACTAATTTATATTTTTTTAGAACTTGTTTACAGTAAAAACATATTTTATAACAATTTAGGAAAGATAGGAAAACCTTCGGCCACGAGATAGTCCAATAAAGTTAAGCTACTGAAGAGATCAACTCTCGAGGATATGGCCGAATAATAAATAGATCTTTGGGAATTAATTTGAATATTTATTATAATGAAGGATTGTATTCCTTTATTTGACTCTTATTGCAATCAACCTAAATTAACTATATATTATAAATATATAATTTATTATTTTATTAATTTTACTTATTTTTGTTGATTTTAGTGAAAGTGATGGCTGTGATGGCTTTGCTTAGTCTTAAAAATCCATTTTCCTTTTCACTATTACTTTACAGTAAAATTAGGAATAGCATAAAAATTAGGATAGCAAGAGCTTATGCGAAACAAGAATATTTGTGTTCATTAGAAATTACGTTTCAATTTTTTACTCGTTTTTTTCTTTTATGAAACTATACCAGTAGTATCTTACCATTTTACAATCCTAACTCGTCTTTTCTAACGGAGAGCCTCTCGAAGTCGATCGTTTTAAAAAAAATTGAATTCATAGTTCGATATAAAGTTTTAATTCTTGGGGACAATTGGAGCAATTTAGCCATTATTTTTGACTCGGGTTCTAGAAATATTATTCACGGTTACGATTCCAAAGATTAAATGAACGAAAGTAATAAAAATTAATCACAATGACCGAAAAATGGTTATTGCTCCACCAAAACTTTTGGTTGGACTTAAAAGCTTTTACACAATTTCCCAACAATGTAATATTTTTTTCTCTTCTTTCTATATTTGGAAAACTGTTTAACTTTCCGTAAGGTAAGTTATTGTAATTGACCAAAAATCGAAATCGAAAATTTTTACATTCTTCACGTTTTGAAGGTTTTCTGAACATTTTGGCATATCTCAGAAAAAATGGATGTATGTGTGTGTATGTATGTATGGATACAATTTTTCGTCTACGTTTTTGGGCGCACGGATTAACCGATTTGAATGGCTCAAAATCATTCGATTCCTATTGATAGGGAGATGTGCTGATTAGTTTTTGGCAAAGGCAGGTCTAGCCGTTTCGGAGATACGAAGCAAAGAATGCAGAAAATAGAAATCGAATTTTTGAGAGATCAGATTGAATTCAGAAAAATCGGAGCATCAGATTTGAATTATCCAAAAAACATTCAATTTGTAATAACGGGAAAAAGTGGTGATTCGACTTTGGCAAAGGCAGGTTCAGCTGTTTCGGAAATACAAAGCTAAATGTGCAAAAAATGGCAGTTTTTGAGAGAACTAAGCGTCCGATTTGAATGACTCAAAGAACTTTCTGCTTGTTTTAACAAAATAATTGCTTTAAAATAATTGTTTCAATTTTTTTTTCTTTCAAAAAATATTTTTTTTTGTATATCAAAAATAATTCAGATTTTAATTATAATTCTGACTTAAGTTCTAATATACTTCAAACAAATATTTTCAACTTTGCAATTCAGTTTATATAATTCTTATAAATATTAGACAATGTCACAGTATTTATTTATAATAATCTATTTGAAAACATTTAATATTCCTCTAACATTTCGTTACGGTACGGGAAGTTCTAGCAATTTGCCTTAAGGCATGATTCCATACACACCACTAGTTATGGTAGAGTTTATCTAGAAGTAATCATATATTCATAGAATGTTACAATGCCTGGGAAAAGCGATTTTTACTGACAATTAGAAATAAATGATTTATCTATTCATTGATTGATTTTGAAATTGGTATCACTACTACTATATTTGGATAATATAAAATCAAAAGAATAAAAATTAGCTATGGCATATTTACGAATAAATTATACCATAATACTAAAAATTTATTGAAAACTAAATTGAACAAAAATAATTGCTTGTTTTATAAACATACAGATATGATATTTCATCGAGAAATTCCATGAAAGGGTGCTAACTGGTCCTCCATCATTGCAATATAGCAAATGTACCGGCATCGACACAATCGTAGTATTCCCCATATATCACGCAGCCAGCGGGCCACCCGACCTCGTGTGCTGTGCGGACGAGATAAGAAGCACACCTTGCGATGCACGGCTGAATAACCGCCCGCACTCGACGCGTCGACAGTTGCCCAGACGCGCAACTGTTGCCCCGGGTGTGAGAGCGCGGCTATTATTGTCCGTTCGGGTCAACATCGCCCTCGATTCCACCTCGTGCGGTGAATTCATATATGGATTTGCTCAGCCGATAATGCAAAATGCACGTTTTCCGCCGGCGATGCTGGTTTCCGCGAGATAAATACAAATAAAGTGATAAATATTTTTGTTACCTTCTATAGAAATATACATGTATACATTTTAATATAAATATTTATAATATGCAATATAATATATTTAGAATTAATAATGGAGGCACAGTAATTTTCAACCATCGCCTAGAAATGCTGCCGTAACATATTTGATTCGTTATAATCTCTACGACTTTACTTATGTAAAAAATTTAGTTTATCGAATATAAAATTGAAAATGAAATTTATTGCATACCATTGTTTCATTTATTGCATACCATTGTTTTAATGTTTTCTGAACATTTTTGCTTACAATAGATGGATGTGTAAAATAAATGAATAAACCGATTTCAATAATTTAAAAAAAAACACATAATAACAGTGTAAAAGACAGGTCCACCCTTTTGGGAGCAAACATAGCAAAAAGTAGAATGA